GCCCTCGCCGTCTCCGCAGGCCGCGGCGCGACGCGCGGCCCCAGCACCACGCGGCAGCGCTGCCTGAAACCTGCCTCTCTCTCTTCTAACTCGCTCTTTTTCTTCCCTCCTTTTTCCTTTTGTTCTGTCTTGTTTTTAATAACTGCATTATGTTGTGCTTAGGCCCTTCGCAGCCCACTGCAGCACTGCAGGGGCCCAAGGGTGTGCAGTGGGGAAATGCCCCAGCGGACAGCTTGCGGAGCCCGAGGTAACATAGGCTTTATAATTTAATTCCCACAGTGCTTGGCACTGCTGAGGATTCGGAAGAACATCCAAGCAAGTTTCAGAGAGCAAGTTTCATTGCGCACTGGGAGGAGAAGAAACTTTGTCTCTTCAGCGGGAGCCATGAAGGCCCCTGTGGAGGAATCCCTCATGCCAAGCTCCAGCGCCGTGGGTGACAACGGCAGCCAAGGATGGCACTGGAATTTACACCTGGTGGCTACACTTACAGCATCAGCTGTTAGTGTTTTACAGGAAAAGCCAACAAGGGACATGCCAGAGAGCAACAATAATTGCTCCCCATATAATTGTTCTCATGCAAGTCACTTGGGCTTCGTCCTACTTTCATTTCCCACCTCATCCTTTCTGCTTGCCATCTTACTTCCATCTTGAGAAAAAAAAATTTCTGAGATAAATAAGGGAATAGGGCTGCACGATAAGAACACAAAATTTGATGCAAACATGCTCAGATACCCCGTCCCAAACACATACTATTCCCCAGCAAGTGCTACTTGCCAAATCTCGTTTTTTCCTAATTTACTAAGCACGAAACCACCTACCCACTTGTGGCTCCCTGCTTCACGCTGTTACACACTGCACCTCAGCAACACCAGACTGCGCTTGTACGGGGTCTCAGCCCGGGCACGCCTGCCCTGCCAAGTCAATGTCTTTGAGCAAAATTACATCCAATAAGCAATTACATCCAGCCATGGCCCTTTCCTGCCAATCAGACAATATAGAGACCTCTCCCTACCCTCAGTTAACTCTCTGCCTGTTACAATGTAAAAGGATTGATTCGTAAAGAGCGAGGAGTGTGTCTGCTTTTTGACTTAGCTTCTGCTTTGCACATATTGATGAGGCAAGGAAAAAATGCAAAGTGGATGAAAGGAGGACTCATTGCCACAAAGAAAAAGGTTGCGGACTCCATCCATTTCTGCTGTGCGTCCCCCTTGCCAGCTGCCCATTTCTGTTCCTGAGAGACCATGAGCCACCCCTAAGCACAAAGGGTTCGGTGGCACCATGAGGACGCGTGTGACTAACGAAGCTTCGCTGCAGCCTGTCGCACTGAAAGCCTAACTGTAACTGATTTCATGAGAACTGGAGAAACATACAGCATCAAAGGAAAAATATAAACATAAAAATGATGTAAATTTCCTTCACAGTTTTAGGAACTTGCTGGGAAGAAAAAAAAAAAGAAAGTCACCCTGGATCAGATTCCCCTTGTAGTCAATCCTTACAAGCCCTGAAGGAAAAGTAAGTCCTGAGATCATCTTGCCCATGGTGCTGTTACCGGCTGAATTCATGTTCTGCTGAAAGAGCGTCTCCGTTTGGTGCACAAAGCACTCCAAGCAAGCAGGTCCATCTGAAAATCTTCTCTCTTTAATTTCCAATTAGCTAGATGCTTCATGCCTATTTCCAGACACTTAGAGGAAGTCATTACTTAAAAGGAGAAGGGAGGGAAGCAACATTATTATCTTATCCTGACCAACTCAAAGCTTCTGCACATTGGACCCCAAGATATTTGAGGTCAGTAACAGAGTTCTTTCCCATAGCCCTGGACAGCGTTTTCCTCTAGCTAACCATTTCAGAGGTTCAGTGCAACTGGACAACAATTATCACCTCCAAATAACTTAAAGTAAGAGGAAAGTGAATACTGTGATGCACAAAAAAGCAGGAAACATATCACAGGAAATTCAATATACTCATTGGGGTCCATAAATTCCTACTCCTGGTACATCAGCACGGCCCTGCCAGCCCTATGCTGGCTCTGGGAGTCCTTAGCTGCTGTTATATCAGTGTCTTGGAGCTTAGGCCCCCTTACACATTAGGGAGACTGGAACACAGGGCAGGAGTCTTCACGCTACCTCTGTGCCCCAGGAATCCTGTGCTCTCTGCAGCCAGAGCCCGCAGAAAGGTGGGCAAACGCCGGGGACAGGAGCTACCTGGGCCGCGCCAGCTTTGCCCCTCGGCTTGGTGGCCACGAGGGGACCAGGGCCACCAGCACCGACCTCTCTCACAGTCCTGTCCCACTGGCTGTGGCTTTGGCTGAGTGTTGCGAGCACGCAACCCCCACGTAAGTGCAAATGCAATCAGGGTGTAGGAAGCAGACCTAATCAATCATTTTTAAAGCACAGTAGGCCTTAAACAAATAATACACTAAGCTGATTAACTTATTTAATCAAGTTGATTTGTTAAAAAAAAAGTCAATTATTTAATACAGGCAATATCTTTAAAAAAAAATCTGTAACTTATGCCCCATCTCCTGGGATATCCTAGACAAAGAAGACTTCTAAGGTTCTCACCAAATACATACAGGGGTTTTCAAAAAGGCTCGAAAGGAAGAAGAAACTCTGCTTCAGGCTATGCAAAGTCCAGTGTGCCCTGCCCACCGTAACCTCTTGATCAATTATTTCCTGCAATTTTTCAAAACGTTCTTTGTTTGCCTGGACATGCCTTGGGATATAATAGGTGATCAATGAAACCACAATAACTGTGCTTTATGCTGAAGACCTTGCTCCATATGCAGTTTTTTGTCAGACTGACGCACAAACATTTTATACGCACGAAATAAGCTTTTGGCCAAAGTACTGGGGCTTGCACTGAAAAATGTAGCAAATAAACAGAAAGTAAAACATCTGCTTCACTGCTGATCTGGTGTTAGTACTTGCAGTTCAATGGCAAACTTTGTTCCAAGCAAGCCACCCACAATGCTGAGTAAGAGACAATAATTTAATATAGAAGGTCTGAACCTGTTCCCATTAATATCACTGGGAATTGTACCGCTATCCTAAATAAGATTACACAAAACCTCTCCTTTTGGCATGTACATTAAATTAGAAAAAAAAAAAATCAGCACCAGGTTGACTAGTATTTTAGTTGGGATTCTCTGAGGGGTCTCATACGTGCCTTTAGAGCTCTCTCACAGTGATGCTTATGAGCGTACTCTGATTACTCTGGAAGGTGGAAAAAACTTTGCTGTTTCTTCTAAGACCTGTTGGAAAAATGCCTGAACCAGTTTGTTCTAAGCAGCTGGACTCAACATAACACTACTACTCAAAAAAAAAAAAAAAAAGAGAAAAAAAGATTTTTTAAAACAAATATGAGGAAGTACATAGACTGAATTGCTTCCCTTAAGGAGCGACACTCTCTTTTCGACTTCATGAGGCTGATTGCTGCTTTGAACGTCATGACCTTTCTCTGAACAAGCCCAGCAGCCTCTTCCTAGCCAAAAAAGGTAGAGAGAAGTACTGAATACCTTTTACTATATAGCAAGAAACTAGATTAAGCTAAAAATATACTTTCTGAAAAAGCACACAGAAATAAAATCACTGGGGATTAATAATACCACAGGCAGAGTCAGGAAGACAATACGAATATAAAATGGCATGGTACCCAGTGGAAAGACTGGATCTAGGGTACTTGGTTGGAAAAAAAAACCCTCTTGCTGGGACTGATCTCTGAATAATACAGCTGGACACAGCAGCTGAAAATTATTTTTTAAACAATTTCAAATAAACCCACAAACCACACCACATCATATTTTCTCATTTCTTTCGAGCAAGGGGGAGAGCAGAAACAGGAGGAGGAAAGGAAGAGATGTTCTCATATTCTTTCATCCCAAGCAGCTAGGATTTTACATGACTCATGATCTGTTTTAAAGGTATAAGGATGCCATTATTGAGCTATATATCTGGGAATGAAGCATTTAGCTGGCAGGGCCTCTTCTAAGCACAGCAGTAATTTTCTTATGCAAGGTCCACTCTCAGGAAGGCTGGAAGCAGGAGGGGTTTTAAGTGAGAAGGGAAGTTATTCAAAGTGATACATAAAATTTGAAGAGTACTGGAGAACTTAAAAGTACAGAAAGCTTTTAAGATACAGTAAAAGTAATTACTTGCTGATACAGCACCGGTAGGAAATTTACTACACGTAATTTCGCTGAGACACAAATAAGAGGTACTCTCCTCCCAGAGCAAGGTACCACGAGGACCCTTGGCCCCAGAGCCCTCCCCGAAACGCTCCGGCTGCCCATCCCTCCGCCTGGCGCCATCCCACGCGCTGGCTGGGAGCTCTGCAAGGAGCCCTGTGCCGCGCTCAGTGCCACAGATGCTGCAGCTCACACCTCCTGCATGGCCTCCAAGCCGATTACGCTCGCTCCACCACTTCCATGGGCAGCCTGTTCCAACACTCAACTACTCTTTCTGTGTAGAAATTCTGCCTAATGTCTGACCTGACCCTCCTCTGGCACAACTTGAGGCCATTTCCTCTTGTTCTTTGGCAAGGGGGCCATCCTTAATTGCCCAACACGCCACGGCAGAACCTGGCGTCCAGTCGAACACAGTATATGGTGGGTAATCACCTCAATCACCTGCACAAAAGAGGGAACGCAAAAAAAGTCAGTAAGAGTTATCTGGAGAAGAGCTGCCCGCTTCCCTTGGTGAGCTTCTTGCTTTAACCGGGGCAGCACGGCACTTCACGGTGACTTCACGTGCCCCTGAGCACGTGAGCCTGTTTTTGGGAAAGCCAGCGCTCCCTTCTCTCCGTTACATGGCTCCCACAGGCCAGCACGGCCTTCCTGGGCCTGAGGGCGCGCCCCCACCCCTCTCCCTGTGGCCATGAAACCTTGGGCGGATTCCCTGCCCGCTGCAGGAGGAGGAGCAGCGCTCCACACACGGCAGCGTCGCCTGTGGCGCCGCGCTGGGGCCCAGAGCGAAGCCCCCGCCAGAGCCAGGCCGCTGAGGCCGCCTCTCCACAGGCTTGGCCTCGCGTCTTGGCCAAACCAGTTTGTTAATTGTCATGTCGTAAAAACTACAAGAGGATTTTAGAGCAGTCCAGCCGAAAGCGTAAGCAGTAGAGAATCCAAACAATTACGAAGCTTTGCTCTTAGCAAATTCATCATAGGCTGCAGAAAAAAAAAATCACTGGACACTTAAGCACATAAAGTTCCCATCAGTTCCCATTCCTTTTTTTCTAAGGATATTTCCACTCAACAAAACGAATTTGTGCAAACAAACCCTCCCCACAGCTTGGGGCAGCACAGGCGGCGGTTGGGATGCAGAGCGAGGCGAAGCGAAGCAGCCCTCCTCCGCCGCCAGCTCCCCAAGCGTGTGGGGAGCCTTCGCACGGCTCCGGCTGCGGCAACGCCTGGGAGACTGGGACTAGGGCCCGCAAAAATAAAACGTCAAAAAAAGGAGCAAATGCTACGTGTCTGCATGCATGTGCCATGGCAGAAGGAGCGCAGGTTCTGCCTCTGGCTGTTAAGGTGAGTAGGCAGTCAGGGGCCGTGGAGCAAGGCCAAGCACAGCATCGCTCAGTACACCCTTCGGAGCCAACTCAAATGTGGAAAGCCAAAACATGCACATATTGATGCTATTTTTTATAGTGGGGGTTACTTCGCATTTATATGGGCAAGGATATATGAGGATATATGGGCTAGGATACACACACACAATCTTCATCGAGCATTTGCTGTGACATTCACCTGCATACTTTTGAAGCCAATGCAAATCATAATTTGCATGGATGTTATAAAAGAGTGCTCCAGAAGATGCAACAGTACAGCAGAAATCAGAGAGAATTAGGAAGGAAAAAAAGGTAAGTACTTGTTGTATAGCAGCAGATCTTTTTCCTACACTGAACATATCGGAGTAAAAAATTCATATTACAGAGGACTAAAGCTGGAAAATCTATCATGCCCATTACTTAAATTCTCGTTTCATATCTCATGTGGTTAGCATCTATTTCTTAGCTTCTTTAGCATGTATTTCTGCAGTGATGGGTTTGTTAGATTGCTGATTTGGGATTCTTTGCTCTGTTTTTTTTTTTTTTTTTTGAGAAGGAATGATGAATTTCCTTTTTTTCTCTTTAGTCTCTACGGAACTCCAGTTGAGTTTGGCTCGAAATAAAAAAACTAGCAGGCATGTTAGGTGCACAGCCAGTACAGAATAGATGGAACAAATATATAAATAAAAAATTTAGATGGAACAAATATATTAAATCATTCCTGAATGATATTTAAAGCAGCAACTCTTGATTTTTTTCTCCCCAAAGCTTGAAAGTTGCAAACAAGTTTAGCACCAAATAAAGAGGAATTGCATTACAGATTTAAACAGACAAGACCCATATCATTAAGCATGAGCATGTTTCATTTTAAACAATCTTCTTTCCATACAGAAAACAATCACTTTTAATGACTGTATTTTTTAGCTCGTACTTACAAGGCAAAGAGGGGAGGGAGAGGAAGGTGTTTATGAAGAATGAAACTAATGAATCACAGAGCAGGAGCAAATGAATCCTACAGTTTCTCACTTGTCAGCAAACACGTAGATAAGAAACCAGCTCCGGCTGGATGGCCGCCTTCCGCAGGCA